TTAGCTCCGCACGCAACAACGCGCATTACATGTGGTATTCGTTAGATTGGACAACTTGTAGAACATTGGGTCACCTGTCAAGAAATCATAGTAAGATGTTTTGGTAGATGCGCCAGAGGCGGCCAAAGGGTTAGACTGCAGAACATTATCGCGTAGTATGCGCAGAAAATGGCTGGTACTTATCATAACTTCGTAAACATTTAGCTCGAGCCCGAATGAATTAGCGGTTTCATAGAATTTCTACTTTGAGTTTCGGCGTTGGAGTGAAATATGACTAATCAGTCAGCATTTAACCTAGTTCTGATGGAAATCCGCCACTGGTCCAAGTTCAGATAATGAGCGGCTCAACATCCTTTGCTTCTTTTGGTGAACGGTTAGGAATGGAATATTCACGTGCTAAGAACCTGGTTTAGTTCAATGAGTGCACACTCAAGTTGTCGCTACTTTTATCAGTACAGTTGACGCTCATTCCCTCTTTCTGTCACCTACCATCACCACCTGATATTGATCGCTTGCCAGTGATAATTGCACGAAGTTTGAGACATTTGCATTCAGACGCCCTTATCATTCCTTATCATTTATTATCAGTTCATGCCGCTTACCGTCCGATCCCCTATGCTTCAGGTCAAAGTTCTACTCTTACCGTGAAGGCCGCAACGGAGCTAATGTTATCCTCACTTTGACGTCCCTTATCATTATCAGCTATCACTTTCTCCACTCACCTTCTTGGTCCCTGCCTCACCTCACATAAAATTCATGAGTGCGAACGTCCTACAGTCAATGCGAAGGGCTTGACAAAACTGATGGCGTTGGCATTCCGATACCCATTATCAGCTCTTATCAGTTTACCTCGCTCACCAATTTGGGCCCCACACAACATTTATTAGTGCAAACTCTCAAGGTCAAAGCGAACGGTGTAACGAAATTGGTGACATCAACATTTCGACGTCCGTTATCAGCTCCTATCAGTAGTTATCACTTCCCGCCACCCATCATCAGTGTTCACGTCCGGCCCCCTATATACCCTAGAAGTTTGAGCGCTCTGGGACCAAAGGGAACGAAGTTATGAATTTCCGGTCAGACAGACAAACACACGCACACACACAGACACACACACGCACAACCGCTTAGCGATTATATATAGTAGGATATATCTGTGTGTGTGACGTGTGTGTTTGTTACAAAATTAATAAGCGCACTTCGCTGCAACAGAAAGAGCGCTGTACTTCAAGTATGTTGTAGGGGGTGGGACGGGAATATCTTTGCTGGAGAACCCAAAGTGATAACATCCGATAAGATCCGATAAGAGGCACAAAAACAAATTCCACGATATCCGTAA